GATCCCATTCTGAAATATGTTGCTCTAACCAAAGCAGTAATTGGTAGGTTTCGGATGTCTTTGAATACAAAGTTCAATGATTCCACCAGATTTGTTGTCATGTGGCCCCATCGTTGACCATTGTCAAATGCCCGAGTCCACTTCTCCACTGAAATGTTATTGATCCACCTTAATGCTCCTGAGTTTGCCAACCGGATTTCTTCGCAATAGTATCGGAATGACGGTTCTGTTAAGGCATACCCTGCATTAATAACTTTCTTTCGAAGTGTCTTGTCTTTGATATGGAGCATGAAGTTTTGTGTGATATGTCTAATGCAATAGACATGTGTCGAAGGGGGGTCTTGCCAACCGTTATCAGGGTTATTGTATGCACTCACAATCGATGGATGGATGTCTGAAATTAAACAAAGGTTGGGTTATGAAGTAACGTCTAATCGAAGATTCTTCAGAAAGAAATTCCATGCACCACATGTCTCACCTTCAACTAGAGCGAAGACAATCAAAAAAACATTATTGTTCCCATCTTGTGCCACTGCCATGGATAATGTTCCTTTATACTTCCCGTATAACCAAGTTCCATTAATTTGTATAATAGGTTTGCAAAATGTAAAACCCTTGATGCATGGTTCAAACGCCCAGAACAATCGATGAAATATTCCATTTCCACTAACATGAGTTATGTCTGGGGTAAAAGCTAGAAGTGTCTCCAAAATTATAACAGTTCCCGGAGCATAATATTTGAGTGCCACCAAATTTTTTGAAAGTTCTTTGTACGATTCCTCCCAATTACCGTACACAAGTTCAACTGCCTTAGTCCTCCTGATCCATGCCTTCCTGTAAGAGGGAGTATAATTGAATCTCGTAGTGATATGAGAAATAATTATACTCACCTTTAATGATGGATCTTTGCTAATAAGAGGCAAGATTTCTTGACATATTAGTTGAGAACTAAGTTTTCGATGATCCTGTGTTGGAACGGTGGTGATGCAAGTATGTAGTGGATCAATGGAACCTATTTCCCATGAATCACTTCTCTTCCTGTAAGATGCAGTTAACCGAAAAGGTAAAATTGGTTTTTGACGACATAAAATAACGTACCTCCCTGAATTATTTTTATCTACAGTGAAGTCAGCTAGAATTTCCATGTGGTATTTTTTGATAGCTCTAAGACACTATTCTTTTGTTCGAAATTTGTCTCCAACTTTCAAGGCCCATTCAGTCTGCATATAAGGATTGTGAAAGATATCTGAGGCTGGTTCATCTTCCCCCAAGTTCAAGTTTGTCATGTGAAACGGAGAGTCGTACGCATGACTTACAGGTATAGGTTCATGCTCTTGATCTGCAACGTCATCATTGACCATAAAATCAATCATTGCCTCATCATCTTCTTCTTCTTGGTCAATAACATCGACTTCAAGATGGTTGTCCCCGTCAGATTCATCCTCTTCTTCAAAGTCTTGAGAAGGATCTACCACCTGAGATTGATCTGGTTGTTGTAATAAAACATACACCTCAATCTCATCGAACCCGGATTGTTCACGAGTTCGAAACATGTTTCGAACATCATCATCGTCGTCCATCTTAAGTTGATAAAATTTGACTTGGTTGTTGTAAAATAGAAATGAGGACTTGTAAAGAATTTGGTAAACTGGACCACACTACAATTTAGATTCTACTCTATCTTTGAAGCGTGTAAAACTTGATTTCTTGTTTATCCGAAAGCGGATAAAATCGGTATTACGGAAATTAAAACCTAAGTTATCGCACTTGAACGTCTCACCGTTAATATGGGCAACAATAGTATAATTTTGTGAATGATCCATGTTGTTGAGGTATGTTTTTTGTGAGTTATGAATGTATACTAGTAATGCAACCTACACAGACGCTTAAATAGACTGATATTCTGCATGCACGCGCCACCTAGGGTAGCTTATCCTCCTATTTTCTCATACATGTGCCACCCTAGGTGGCTTATCCTCCTCTTTTTGCATGCATGCGCCACCTAGGGTGGCTTATCCTCCTATTTTTGCATGCATGCGCCGCCTAGGATGGCTTGTCATTGAACAACAAAACTTGCATGCATGCCATCTCATCCCTGCCACGCTACAGGTTTGCATGCATGCAAAAAGCAAGAAGCCATGTTGAATGGCGCATATGTACAACAAAGAGAGCATGCGCCACCTAGTGTGGCGCCTATGTGCAATAAGGAAGAGCATGTGCCACCTAGTGTGACGCCTATGTGTATAAGTTGCATGTAAGGTGTTCTTCGAGATTTTCCTACAAATACATGTAACATTCATCCTATATTTTCATCACAATCATAACTCATACATTATTTATTTCTTGAAGTATCAACAACAACACAAGAGTAATCAAGAAAAAATGTCTCTTTTGACCATGGATGATCAACATAGAGGAACTCTAAACAATATTGAAACCTTTGTAAGTGTATTTTCCTTAATACCTATTTTTTGCCGATAATTTTTTGTTCCTTAATTCTTATGACTGTTATACGTAAATCTTATATTTCTTATACGTAAATCATGTTTTTAATAGGATGTTAAAAGATCTCGTTGTCGTGTCCATGGGTATGTCCCTTACAATGTTCAAATTGAACCGTACTTACGACATGCCAGTTTTGATCCGTTACTCAACATAGTCAATTACCATGTTGACTATAAAATTATTCTCGCATTAGTGGAGAGATGGAGACCCGAAACTCACACTTTCATCTTCCATTTGGTGAATGTACAGTCACACTAGAGGACGTGTACATGTTATTCGGTCTACCGATCGACGGTAAGGCTGTCAATGGCCGAGTCAACCAAGACAACGCCATATGCGAGGAACTTTTGGGAGTCTCTTTATTTGAACAAGGGTCAAGAGGCCAAGGTATTAATCTTCGTCTTCTTAGAGAATATCATAGTAGTCTCGTAATAACTGAAAACTCTACCGAGCAAGAAAAAATTGTGAAAGCTCGGTGTTACATAATGATATTATTTGGCCATTTTTTATTTCCTGAAACAACGAGTAATATTGTTAATATCATGTATTTACCATTGTTAAGACAATTTGATAAAATAAACACATATAGTTGGGGTTCAACTGGTTTGGCCCATCTGTATAGTTCCTTGTGTAAAAATGCATCGAACGATAGCTATTCTTTATATTCTTGCGCCTTTTTGCTCCAGACATGGTGCTAGTCGAGAATGCTGACACTCGCCCCCCACAACACAAGGTCATTCGTCTTCTTCTTTGCTACAAAGTAAGATTACAAAACCATAAATTTTACATATTATATACCGAGACATGTAGTGTATTAATTTATTACCCTTTTTTCTATGTAGGTGGCCTGTTCCTGGGATGAATTACAACAAATCCCCTAAAAACGCAATAGTAGTCTACCGAAATCTTATTGATCGTATTGGACCCGAAGAGGTATTAAACTTACATATTTTATACAACACATTCAATAGTTTAATTAAGTTTAATATTTTATATAACTTTTTTTACTCTACAGTTTGTATGAAGGCCGTATGAGGATCTCGACCATGCGATTAACCCTCCTGATGCTGAAGTCTGGACTGCAAAAACAACACTCATCAGATTCACTATTATGGAGATGCACCATAGTGATCGTGCGAAGCTACAATTCAGCATGCAATAGGGTATCCCCGACCCCCCAACATGTTTGGGCCAATGTTATCTACTCAAAGTTGATGACCAGTGGGGATTTAACGATTTGAGAGACTTCACTAAAAGTCAATGTCGTCAATGGAGGCATAGACGTAAATTGGTCCTAAGGGAGCCGATCTTGCAAGATGACTTAAAATCGACGCTCCAATATTTGAGATGATACACATCGGTTTCAACAAATTTCTTTCTGTCTCAATAGACTTATTTGATTGAACCACGCTAAAGAGTTGCAACATACGCCCAACAACAACCCCAACAACCATACACGGCCTCATTCAACCAAACTTATCATCAATTCATGCCACACACACAAACACAATACCAAGAGCATGACCCGATCCACCACCAACAATATGCACCATCCTCATCCTACCATAACACCCAAGACACATATGATACATCTCCTTCCTACCATACCACCCAACCTACATACATTCAAACATCACATCATCGAAGTACCCAACCATCATACGACTTTCATACACCACAAGAATCGTTGATTCATTTCCATCATGATTCAACATCCCAATACTATCAATCACCCCACCACCCACACATATCCCAATCAACAAGACTAAACTTCAACAATATGAACACCGATCTCTTTGGAAGCACAACACAGTGAGGCGAAATGATCGATGAGATGTATGATCCTGATGTACCAGGACCATCACATCAAGCACCTCATAATCAAGCGAGTCAGAATAGACCACAAACACCTCAGGAAAATAAACAGAGAAGAGTGAGACAAGGGGCGAGGCAAAGACGCAGTCGTTTATGTCATACGGAGACCCGCTTAAGTTGAGGGGACGTCCAAAAAAATGTATCCATGTGTTGTGTAATATTAAATATTAATATGAAATATGTTTAGTTACTTTTATTTTATTTAAAAAATTACAATAACACCGTCAATTCAAGGAGGGTGGTGCCTCCTCTCTAAAATCACATGCATGCGCCATACTGTATGACTTTGCAAAGGAGGACACGCCATGCAGTGTGACGCCTCCTCTTTAAAATGAATGCATGCGTCACTGAGTGACTACTCTTCTGTGTGACGATTTTTTTTTGTTTGAAAATGAGTCATTTTAGTAAATTTTTTGAAAAAATGATTATTTGAGATTTTTTTTTAAAAAAAAGTGATTATTTAAAAAAAAAAATTCAATAATTTTAGTCAAATAACAATAGCGTAGTTAAATACACACTTAAAGCACAACAAGCACCGCCGTTTTCTAAAACCCTAGATACTATCTCTCATTGCTCCTCATCCAAATCCTCTCCGCAACCGCAACCCTATTTCCCTTCCAATGGAACCACCTGCAGGCCCTCCGGCCGCCGCCCCCGGCGAAATCCCACCTGCAGACCCTCCGGCCGCCGCCCCCGGCGAAACCTTAAGCAAAAAGTAAGCGCTTCAAACATCCACTTTCATCGCTAAATCGATTTCACCATCACAGAACTGTCGAATTTTTTCATGTTTCAAATTTTTAATCGTTTATTGGTTTTGCAGTGCACAGAAGCGTGAAGCCAAGAACAAGCTGAGAGAAGAGGCTTTGAAGAAAAAGGAAGAGGAGAAAGCCAGAAAGGTAACTCTCGTCGGTACTAGCTTTGATCAATTGATAATGTAACCTTCGATTAGTGGTGAAATTTGTTTTTCTTTTGTTAATTATAGTTTCTGTGTGATTTTATTCTTTGCATGTCTATTTTAATTTCTGAAAATTTATATTATAGTTAGTATAAACAATTGAGACTGTTACTTTTGATTAGTGGTGAAGTTTTTATATGCTTAATTTATGAAATGTAGTTTCTGTATATTTTACTAGAATTTTGTGTGATTTTTTTCGTTTAATATTGTTTTCAATTTCTGAAAATTTATATTTATGTAAGCTGTAAATGAATGTCTCTTCAGGCTCTTGAAAATCTAAGTGTCAAAGAGAACAAAGTTGCAGCTGCTGATGACGAAGATATGGATCCAACGGTATAACTTCTCTTTTGTCAGTGCAATGTTTCAGAGATGTTGTTTTAGCTATAGTGTGGTTGATGAGCTTTTTTCTTTTGTTTTGCTGCAGCAATACCTGGAGAATAGGCTTAAGTATCTTGCGACTGAAAAAGCAGATGGGAGAAACCCGTATCCTCACAAGTTCTCTGTCACTATGTCTATTGAACAATACATCAAGGAGTATGAAGGTTTAAGCGATGGGCAACACCTTGAGGATGTTTCTGTGTCTTTGGCTGGTAGTCATTAGTTTCTTTGTTTTTGTTTTTGAATTTGGTGGTTGCTTGTGTTGATATATTTGTTGATTCTAATATATATATTTCATCAGGCCGAATCATGCTCAAACGTGCCTCTGGGGCAAAGCTTGTCTTTTATGATCTGCATGGTGGTGGTTTTAAGGTTCAGGTTATGGCTGATGCAAGGTACCCATTCTTGTTTTCTTCAAATTTACTGCACATGTAGAGACTATGCCGGTACAAAATGTTGTCTCAAGTTAGCATATGCCAATTACTAGACTATGGTTTCTATTTTTTTTTTTTTTTGGAAGAGCACTAAATTTAAGCTTAAGAAGTGACTAATTGCCGTGGCTTTTTGTAGAGATTTTTCACAATTACCTGTAAGCTTTTGAGAAAATGACAACAGTTTTTCATCTATTTAAAAAAAAAAAAATAAATTTCTTGAAATAAATCCTTTATTAAATACTTTTTTTCATAAAAAACTAGTCAGATACCCGTGCGTCCGCACGGGTAAATTTATTTGTTATAATGAAGGTTGTCAGAATCGAGAGTTTACTTTGAATCGAACGAGGATATCAAGATCGCATAATTGAAAACCGCAACCAAAATCGATGGATTCTACTCAAATCATTTTGTTGAATCGAAAGGGAAATCAAGATCGCATAATTGTAAATCGCAACCAAAATCGATGGATTCAACTCATAATAGTAAGTATATATTATAAAGTGCAAGTACTCAAAGTTTAAAATCATAAAAAAACAAAGTCTCAAATCTTAAATTTAAAAGAACTCAAAAGTTTAAAATCATAAAACAAACATAAAATAACCAAGTCTCAAATCTTAAATATAGAACAAAATACTTAAAGCCTAGATGCTAAGTTAGATCACTAATGCGCCATCTACTTGGATCATCTCCCATAATGTCAACATTGTCATCTTCATTATTCTCATCACCACCACCACCATCATCATCATCACTTCCATCATCAACTTCGTTGTCACTTTCTTCTATATCTTCAGCAATAACAAATTCATCTGCAATTGCAAGTGTAGGTGATGTAGCACCAGTAGTACCATTAGTATGCGTCAATTCAGCATCTAAATCAGCCATCATCTGATTAGCAACTGCATTTTCTTGCTCAGCAACATACCACCAATCATCATCATCTTGGAAATCATCAATGGTTAATTCTCTTCTTCTCCTTTCAACCTTCTTCTTGGTCAATCTTGAATTTACCATCACATACACAAGATCGTTCATAGTTTTTTGCTTCAATCGATTTCTTTTTTTGGTATGGACCATCTCAAAAGCACTCCAGTTCCTTTCACAGCCAGAAGAACTACATGTTGAACTCAAGACACGAATGGCAAAGTTTTGCAACTCCGGATGTTCACCACCGTAAGATTCCCACCATTGAGCCGGTGTCTTGTTTTGTAGTCCAAATTGAGCCACTTCATCTCCAAAGAACCCCTGTTTGCCTTTAAAAAACTCAAGTTGACCGTCAATCTTGTTAACCATAGTCATATCTCCTCCCATCATCCTCTTTAAATATGTATACATCCCTTGCGTAACTTCTTTATCAGCTTTGAAATTAGGACCGTAATGCAACATGGGATTAAGAAAATAGCCAGCAGCATGCGATGGTCTACATGCAATTGTTTGTCCCATCTCTTGTCAATGATATCCCATACAGGTTTATAACTAAAGAATAACAAAAGATTAAAATTTAATTAGTTCACAAGCAAAAGGTTAAACCAATGAATATACTTTATAAATTTAACAATTATCTTTTTCTTTTATTATTGTACCCAACTTGTATGTCCTCTTTTGCCTGATCCATTGCTTCATAGATCAAGCCCACGGTTGGTTCTTCATCAGAATCCACCATACGCAATACTCTCTTAGTAATGGAAATGCAGCCCTTAAACAAAGAATCACATTCTTCCAAAAATCTTTATCTAGGACTGTATTTTGAACTAGTTTCCCATCCTTTGTTTTCGCAAATGGACCATCCTTCCATTGCTTGGAAGTGAACATCCTAACCAATGCTCCCCTCTTATCATTCAAGCACCCCAAACATAAGTAAGATGTTGCAAATCGAGTGATTCCAGGTCTAATCAACTCACCTCCTTCAGTAAAGTGATGCAATAATGTTATAAGACCAGTCCTAGCATAGATGTAAGTTGTGATCTTTTTACCTGCAGCAATAGTATCTTTATGCATAGGTATCTTGCTCTCAAAGTCCTCCAACGTTAGATCAATGCAGTGAACTGCAAAAGGGGTCCAACAAAGCTTATTCCTCTTCTCCATTGATAGAAATAGGTAAAGAGAGAGTATGAAAAGAAACTCTCATTGTATTATCTTCTTAAACAGTAATACAAGAGGCTACTTTATATAGCCATGTGATACAAAGCAGAAAAGGTGTGAGGCCATAACAAGCTAACAGCACACCACTAACAAACCTGACAGCTCAGCAAAACAGAATAGAAAGATAAAATGAAGGGCATATTAGTAAACTACTCTATTAGTCCCCCTTAGAAGCTGATGGCAGACTTGTCAAAGCAGCCTTATCATACACACGCAACTTGGAACGAAGAGGAACAAACTTGGCAGCAGAGAGGGGCTTAGTGAGAATGTCAGCCCATTGATCTTGAGCTGGTACATGAACAACAGTCAGACTTTTGCTGAGTACTTTCTCTCGCAGAAAGAAAATATCAAGCTCCATATGCTTAGTCCTGTTGTGAAGAATAGGATTGTGAGCCAAAGTAACAGTGCTCAAGTTATCACACAAGATCTTAGGAACTTGAGAGGAATAATGGAGTTCCTTGAGCAAGGACTGAATCCAAATGAGTTCAGCAGCTAGCTGAGCCATACTGCGATATTCCGCTTCAGCACTGGACCTTGCAACAAGCTGTTGCTTCTTGGACCACCAGGAAACAACATTAGGCCCAAGATATATGCAGGCCCCTGAAGTAGATCTCCGGTCATCAGGGTCTGATGCCCAGTCTGCATCACAGAACCCTAGCAACTGCATTGGTTGCTGAATAGGAGCAGGCTGAAGGAGAAGACCATGGTGCAGAGTACCACTTAGGTACCTTAAGATTCTTTTAACAGCCTTCCAATGATCCTCTAAAGGATTGGACAAAAACTGACAGACTTTGTTGACTGAAAAAGAGATCTCTGGCCTAGTTAAGGTAGCATATTGAAGGGCACCAACCACAGACCGAAACTGAGTAGGGTCATCAACCGCAGCAGACCCAACCTTGGACAATTTGCTGCTAGAGACCATGGGAGTAGGCATGCCATTGGCATTCAACATATTAAGCCTTGAAAGCAAATCTGTGATGTACTTAGTTTGAGATAAGAGAAGAGAACCATTAGGGAGATGAGTCACTTGAATCCCTAGGAAATAATCAAGTTGTCCCAGCTGTTTGAGAGAGAAAGAATTATTGAGATGCTTGATCAAGGAAGCTATAAAAGGAGCAGAACTACCCGTGATGATTATATCATCAACATAGACCAGAATTAGAATCTGAAGTTTACCTTGATGCAACAAAAACAAGCTAGGATCACATCTACTAGCCTTAAACCCGAGTTGAACCAAGGCACACTTTAGCTTATCAAACCAGGCCCTAGGAGCCTGTTTTAAACCATAAATAGCCTTATTTAACTTGCAAACAAGAGTTCTGTCAGCAACTTCAAAGCCAGGGGGCTGTTGCATAAGGACTTCTTCTTCAAGAGTGCCATTGAGGAAGGCATTGTTAACATCAATCTGCTGCAATGGCCACCTGTTTGTAACAGCAATAGAAAGAACAATTCTCACAGTAACAGGTTTAATGACAGGAGAAAAAGTTTCTTGAAAATCATCACCAGCCTTTTGATGGAACCCTTTAGCCACTAATCTGGCTTTATACCTGTTTATGGAACCATCAGGATTCTCCTTAGTCCTGAACACCCACTTACATCCAATAGGCTTCCTTCCAGCAGGAGCTTTCACCAAAGTCCAGGTCTGATTTCTCAGCAGTGCCTGATGTTCTTCCTTCATGGCCTGAAACCAGTTAGGAGCAGCCAAGGCTTGCTCAACAGATGTAGGTTCAAGGTGGGCTATTAATAGAGTAGGGTGAAGTCTAGGAAGAGTGATTCCTCTTTTGGCTCTAGTTTGCATAGGGTGGATGTTTTGAGGGTGAATGGAAGGTAAAGCTGTGGCAGCAGGGTGGGAAATAGGACTAGGGCCAGGGGAGGGACCAACTAAAGGAGAGGAATATGAAGAGGAGGGAGAAAGAGTGCTAGCTTCAGCTGGATCAGAGAGAATGAGGGCAGGAGAGGAAGAAGGAGAAGAGGTAATGGGAATGGCAGTGAGAGGTTGAGGGATAGGTTGCTGACCAGAAGAATAAGAGTTGTTAGAGGGAGCAGCAGAGGAAGAGGAAGAAGAGATTGGAGAAAAATTAGAAATAGTGGGACTGCTAAGTTGAGGAAAAGCAGAATTTGAGGAAGAAGAAGGCATAGAAGACAGATTAGAAGTAGAGGGAGCAGAGGGAACAGGAGGAAAACTGAGAGAGGGAGAGGAAGAGGATGGAGTGTTAGGAAGAGAGACAGATTTTGAAGAAGAAACCAAGGTGGAATAAGGAAAATTTGCTTCATTAAAAACAACATCCTTGGAAATAAAAATGCGACCATCTGAAGCAAGGCATTTATAGCCTTTGTGAGAGGTAGAGTATCCAAGGAAAATACACAGTTGAGATCTAAAATCAAGTTTATGAGAATTATAGGGACGGAGAAAAGGATAACATGCACAGCCAAAGACTTTAAGGATAGTATAGTCAGGGTTTTTGTGAAGTAATTTAAAATAAGGTGAGACATTGTCAAGTATAGGTGTAGGAAGTCTGTTAATGAGATATGCAGCTGTGACAAAGGCATGATCCCAGAATTTTAAGGGAAGGGTGGACTGAGCAAGGAGTGTGAGACCAGTCTCAACAATGTGCCTGTGCTTACGTTCAACAAGGCCATTTTGGTGATGTGTATGGGGACAAGTGAATCTGTGAACAATCCCTAAATCTGTGAGATATTTGGTAAGAGGCCTAAACTCACCTCCCCCATCAGTTTGGACACATTTAATGGGACAATTGAACTGAAGTTCAACCATTTTCTTAAACTGAAGAAATTGAACCATGGTGTCAGACTTAAGTTTGAGAGGAAAAACCCAAACAAACCTAGAGAAGGCATCAATACAGGTTAGGAAATAGGTATAACCACTGGAAGATTGCATAGGGGCAGGACCCCAAAGATCACATACAACCAGCTCAAAAGGATGAGAGTAAACTGTGGTAGATAAAGAAGAAGGAAGTCTATGAGACTTGCCAATGCAGCAAGCGTGACATAACTCAGCAGGGGGTTTAGATGGAAAGGATTGATTACACAGTTTGAAGATTTCAGTGAGGGCATGATGATTGGGGTGTCCCAGCCTAGTATGCCAAAGCACATATTTATTGGATGCAATAGAATTTGCAGCATTAAAGTGTGAGGAAGGTAAAACAGTACTGACAGAGTTTAGAGAAGGATTGAAAAAGGTACTTGTAACATTATAATTGCAAGATTCATTACAAGAAGACAAAGGATTTATAGTATGATTTGCAACAGATTCAGTACACTGAGATATAGAATCTATAACATCCGTCCTATAGGAAGTATTACAATTGTATGCTGCAGGATAACTATGACTAGAACTATAAGAGGAAGAAGATTTGGACAACGGAGGAGCAGCTGGAGTGGAGAATTTATAGAGGCCATCAGCACCAACAAGACCACTGAGTAAGACTTCAGAAGTAGCCTGAGATTTGACAACACAAAACTTAGGATGAAATTCAAAAAATACAGAATTATCTTGAGCAAATTTGCTCACACTCATAAGGTTTTTGGTGATGTGAGGGACATGTAAGAGATTGTTAAGAGTGAGAGATAGATGAGGTTTGTGAGGTAAGGGAAAAGACATAGAACCTACAGAGTTGATGGACAAACCTTGGCCGTTACCTATGAAAACTTGTTCAGTTCCAGGCACGGAGGCAGAGTCAGACACATTAGAGGCATCAGGAGTAACATGATGAGAAGCTCCTGAGTCAGGATACCACCACTGGTTTGCACTGCTAGCTTCAGTACCTGCATAAAAGGCTTGTGGTGCAGAAGATCTGGGAGGCGCAGCTCTGGGAGAAGCATAAACAAGCTGCACAGGATAAACAGCACGAGGAGCCACGTGAAAAGGATTGAAGGGAGCTCGATGATGTGGATAACTAGCACCACTTGAATTGGCATAACGATAGTAGCATACTGAAGCATCATGACCAGGTTTGTGACAAATCTGACACGGTGATTTCCCAAAACGACCTCCTCCACGACCAAAACGACCACCACCGCGACCAGAACGACCACCACGTGCACCATAGGAATGATTTTCAGCATTAGCGGTGACGTGACTCGTTCCTTGAGGAAACGCCTCGGAGATGACTTGATCAGAAGCGACTGGAGTGGGAGAAGGTGTTGCTTGAGTGAGATTGATCGTCGCCGTCGCCGGTTCTGTAATCGCAGCTTTGCGATGCTTCTCCAATCGCGACTCATGAGCAAGCAAGGAAGACTCCAACTCTTCCAAGGAGCTAACGTCATCTTTGCTGTTAACGGTGGCGACAATAGAATCATAATCCTCAGGTAATGAATCAAGAACAATCTCAATTAGGTTACGAAGAGGAACGGGATCACCGATGGAGGTTAGCGACTCACTGATGTCACGTGAACGCGTCATAAGCTCAGTAATCGTTAATGAACCCTTCGTAAGACGCCGGAGTTCTGAACGAAGTTGACGAGCCTTGGTGGAGAGAAGAACATCAAAGTACCGATGAACTTCTGTCCACACCTGCCACGCATGCTTGCAGTCAACGAGCTTAGGAAGGAGAGCATCGGAGATGGTAGAGAGAAGCCAGGTGCAAATGAGAGCATCCTGCTGTTCCCACTCAAGAAACGCACTGTGAGATGCAGGATCGGAGGGAGACGGTGGCGGAATCACCGGAACAGTGACAAAGCGTTGAAGACGATGACCACGGACGACGCCATCAATCTGCTGCTTCCACTGTTTGAAATTCTTGTCGTCAAGCTTAACAGAAATTAGGTGAGAAAGTTTCACCTGAGAGGAAGGGAATAAAGGTTCCATGGATCGGAAAAAAAAATTATGCTCTGTATACCATGATAGAAATAGGTAAAGAGAGAGTATGAAAAGAAACTCTCATTGTATTATCTTCTTAAACAGTAATACAAGAGGCTACTTTATATAGCCATGTGATACAAAGCAGAAAAGGTGTGAGGCCATAACAAGCTAACAGCACACCACTAACAAACCTGACAGCTCAGCAAAACAGAATAGAAAGATAAAATGAAGGGCATATTAGTAAACTACTCTATTATCCATCAACATCTGTCCAGCCAACTTGTAATTTGCAGCATTGTCTGTTACCATTTGGATAACATTTTCTTCACTCACTTCCTCAACAATGTCATCCATCATTTGAAAAACTTTATGAGCTGTCTTTGAAATGGAAGATGCATCAATTGACTTTAAAAAGAAAGTTCCCTTTGGACTATTTACCAAAAAGTTTATGATAGTCCTTCTTTGATCATCATTCCGTCCATCAGTCATGATTGTACACCCAAACTTTTTCCAATCTTTTTTATGTTCCTCTAATATCTTATGTGTTTTCTCAACTTTTTTCTTCAGCAACTTATCTCTAATATCACGGTAAGTCGGTAACTTATATCCTTTACTGAAACCAGCAACCATTTCACACATTTTGATAAATTCTATATCTTTTATAACATTGAAGGGAATAGCATTGTTGTAAAAACAAGCAGCAACTTGTAAATCAGTAGCATCCTTCTCTTTCTTCTTAAAAGCAGTGTTGATACTTGTTTGCCTTGTTATCCCTCTCTTGAAAATATCACCAGGATGCACAATTTTTGCATCATCAATCTCTAGCACCTCTTGACCTGCCACAGCCATACCTCTCTTGTTGATGAGATTACTTTGCATGTTGTTAACAAGATTCCACATTTGTTGTTGAACATCACTCGGGACAGATGGACATGGTATAACATGGTGAGTTGTACCCGCTAAATGGTGCTTTAATCGATAAATACCACCAGAATTCACTTTTTGACAATAGTTGCACTTTGTTTTGTTTGATTTCTCGTCCACGAGAGTGCAATGTAGCCACCCCAGATCTTGTTTTTCACCAACAGCATTTTTTTGGAGGATTCTTACGTTTCACAGTCCCCCCAACACTTGGGTTTGATCCTCCAGGAGGAGGAGGAGGTGGCATGGAACTGCTACTAGCCATCTAAAGTCTAAACAAAGAGCATAAAACAAAATAAAGACACTTTCAGTTAAACCGACATGGCGACATGAAAATGCAAAAAGCAAGAAAGTAGAGTAAGGAAACTGGAAGCAGAGCATGATAATAGAAGTATGAAGGAATAATGGAAACTAGAGTAATGCTTACAAATTGTTGAGATGAAGGCATGGTTGAAACTTGAAGGAGAAAGAAATACGGTTGATGTAGAAGCGCGAACGGCAAAAGGAAAATTAATAAAATAGGGTTTTCCCCCTTTCAAATAAAAAGGGTTAAAACCGGGTCACAAAACTGAAACGGGTCGTTTTTACCCATTCTAAAATTACCCAAAAAAAAGCCCAAAATCGGTGGAATCCATACGTGATCGGATTTTGCTGTGATTTAGCGATTTTGTGTGATTTTTTTGGGATTTTGCTATGATTTAGGGTTCTACTCACGATTCAGATCATTAAGGGTGAGCAAAATTGCAAAATCCATGGATTTCACGATTCTGATTGCGATTCTGACAACAATGGTTATAATATAACATTCTATCATTAAATAAAACATTCTATCATTATGCGTTTATTCATGAATGTAATATATTGTATATAATTAGTAATGTGCAAAACAAATTTAGACACTGGTGAATATATATTTTAGTGTAGCTTGATTATTGAATATAATCAGTAATGTGCAAAAAGTATAGTGAACTTTTGCTTGATCAAATTCTAGTTAAATATAAATTCAGAACAGTAATAGATAATAGTAAGAAATCAAAAGCATAATTGTTATGTTAGGAAACATGGTTGTAAAAGATTCATAATAATTCACAGCATATAGCAAAATAAAGGATTCCCTTTATATTGAATTAGGATGTATAGTAAAGTCGGGTTACAAATATAGTGAAGCAAGCACTCAATTGACCAAGAAAAGTTGATAACATCTGTAGATGTTGAATGGTATGTTAATCAAGCCATTCAGTAACAAAAATTGGTGACTGAAAGATTTGTCATGGATATGGAATATTCTATAATTAACATTGTTGCTATTGGTTTAGTAATGGATATGGCTTATTCTATAATTAAGTGTTACAGTTCAAATATGAGTGGCCCTGTATGGGTTGCCCATGTGACAAATATTTGTTCTCCTAAATTTGGTTTTAAATGAGAAAGATCATATAAATACATAACTTCTTCATCAATTAACAACATATGATGTAGAAATCTAAGATTCTGCCACTTTCCACAATTCTGATGTGAGGGCTTAATAAAAGAAGAAGTTACATAAATTGGTTCAAATGTAGATTCTGATGTAAAATTGGTACAAAGAAGTTACATATATTCTGATGTAAAATTCAACAACCTAACAGAAAAGCCAGAAATTAGTTCAATGTAGATAGAAAGTAATAAAGAGTTATCACATTAATTAGGCATTGTGCCTCTTAATGCAAGTCTGTAGTGCAAGTAATTTGATATGAGAATATTTTCAGCATGGAGTTCTGATTATTGTTAGTGCCTGTAATTTTTTTTACTTTAGTAGCTTTAGTCTCAGGTTGAGCTTCTGCTGTGACAGTTTCAATACCAACTTGTGTAGCTATAGAATTTGTAGTTCCCCAATTATCACCTGTCACCATTATGCTTCTGATTTTCATGGATTTTAGAATTAAAATAAATTCTTTTGCATTAGGTTTCAATGGATTTTAAACTATAAAAAAATCATATTATAATATTTCATGCGACATGAAAATCATCAAGAGGATGAATAATAACAATCCTTACACGGACTTTTCTAGCTTGGCATATTTTGGCCATGTATTTGGTCAAAACAACATTTTTGGTTGAATTACGTTTTGTTTTGATTAAATACGTAAATAATGTCTTCATATCTGTTAGTCATCACTGGTTTTTTGAATAATTTGGTACTGTTTCCTGTAAATGACACAAATAATATGACACCATTTAACATAAAAATTTGAATTTCAAACTCCATAATAAAATAAGCAAAAAATAGAGCACACACCAAAGCAGAAAACAGCAACAAAATGAAACACGGATAGAGCATACTTAAGGTCTTCTAATTTCCTTTGTGTTTTTTGATTGAAATGGTGAGGCCAATTTACATTGAACTCGCCTTAGACTCATAGGTCTATCCTGAGACAATTAATTGCAAACACTTAAGCATGCACATCAATGATCCATTGCCATTGTAATGTGATAATTATCATGGTGAAGTTACACGATACATTTAATTTTCTCATTTGGAACATTCTTCCTGATCCTCTTGGGTCTTAATATAATTTAAATACAGCCACTGGTTCTTAAGTTATAAGGAATAAATAAATAATATATCTTGACTCTTGTTACTTTGGTGTTCGGCTTAAATAGTACTAGTGATTTGGTTTTTCAAGTTGTGAAGCGGTTTTTCGTGGTTTTTTAAGTTCTTTCTTAAATTTCTATTTTTCCCCTTACTTTAGATCAGATATTTTCTTCATGTTTTTCGTGTATAATTTAGGACAGAAACGACTGATATATCTTCTCTGTAGAAAATCGGACTTGAATGAGACTGAGTTTTCCAAATTCCATTCTAATGTCAAGCGTGGTGATATTGTTGGCATCACAGGGTTTCCAGGTTTGTGTTGCTATGGACTACTTTGTCTTTCATATAAAGTCTGTATGCAATTCTTTGACTTAGATAATACATACTTGCAATAAGGGCAGCTTGGTTTTTTGTTTTTAAAATTTTAGAAATGGATTAGGTCTTTGCTAATAGGACTAAATTAATAGATACGTCCTACTATGATAATTTGCATATTATTAAATTATTCTATCTTCATAGTGGGAACATCATTACCATTAACGAGAAACCACTTCAAAGTGTTTGTTAGTTGCAAAATTTGGAGGCCATATTAGTCACACTTACATTTATTTAAATCCTACTAATTGGTCCAATTTTTTCCTATATGATGTGCCATAGTTAGGATTTATTCTTTAGTATTGTATTCTGAATTATAATATTGTTTTAAAGGTTTCCCTTATTTAAATGCTCAGGCAAAAGCAAGAAGGGGGAGCTTAGTATTTTCTCCAAAACTATTGTGACACTGTCTCATTGTTTGCATATGATGCCAAAACTAATATCTGCGTCTGCAGCGGATAATTCAAATGTGAAGGTCAGCATTATTCCTTTACGTTTGCTGTCTGGTGACCAATAACTATACACTAACATCGTTACTTTATTTTAATGATGTACAGAAAAGTGCATGGGTACCAGGAAGTACCCGGAATCCCGAAGCATACTTTTTGAAAGATCAGGTATTATGCTGTCATATAGACATTTTCATTGCTTAAGTCTGTCATATACTATCTATTCTCTGAACAAATCTGAGGGTGATAACTTGGTAGACACTACCTTATTAAATGTTAGAATGCAATTTCCCAACCCCCATTGGCGCTTAGCACTTAGAATGGGGGATGAATTGAGATATATAATTGCTTGCTTGTTATTATTCACTTTTTCTTACGTGCAGTGTTCATTGTGTGTTTTCTTTTTCAAATGTGTAGTTGATGACTTGAAGTTCATTTTATTATAGACATTGTTTAAGTCTGTCATATACTATCTATTCTCTGAACAAATCTGAGGGTGATAAGTTGGTAGATACTATCTTATTAAATGTTAGAATGCAATTTCCCCACCTCCATTGGCGCTTAGCACTTAGAATGGGGGATGAATTGAGATATATAATTGCTCGCTTGTTATTATTCACTTTTTCTTACGTGCAGTGTTCATTGTGTGTTTTCTTTTTCAAATGTGTAGTTGATGACTTGAAGTTCATTTTATTATTACATTCAATTCTTCCAGTTGACAGGCTTTTGTTACTTATTATTACATTCAATTCTATTTTTTATTGTTCAGCTTTCTGAATTTGTGTAATTGCAACTTGCCAGGTATGAGGTACTTGGTGATAGTCAAATGAATTAGTTAAATTGATTTCTGTGGAATTATTTACTGGCGGGCAACTTTCTAACGGCCTTGCCAAAATGAAAATTATTACCTAGGCACACATTTCTCATACTTGGTATTAAACAAAAAACTTGTTTGCAAAATTGTTTTCAACTCAATCAAACGAACATATTTACACCCGAAGTAAAGTGAATCAAACTGTTGATTTTAGTGCTAGTTGATATCAAATGTGACTTTGGAATGTTCAAGGATGCACTGTATTGCAACTCTGAAGCTTGCATCTTTATTTTTATGTTCATTTTTCATATATTGAAAGATAAAGTGGAATTTCTCCAGCATTTTTCTCTTATGTATAATATATATTGTTTTGATAAATCTTTGTCTGTAGATGCTGAACTAAGTTTTCTTTTGCATGATCTCCAGTTTTCTTTCTATCAAAATATATTTTATATGTACTGATAATATTTTGATATATTCTATTAATCATCTTTTCTCATAGGAAACTAGATATCGGTTACGCCATTTGGATTTGATGATTAATCCAGAGGTTCGAGAAATATTCAAGACTAGGTCTAAAATCATTTCCTACATTAGGTCCTTCCTGGACAAGCTTGATTTCTTAGAGGTTTGTTCTGTGCCTTGAATATTATCATGTTGGATTCCTGTGATTTCTTTCCTTCCATTCACCTACTTTTCCACCACTTAGGTTGAAACACCTATGATGAATATGATTGCCGGTGGTGCTGCTGCTAAGCCATTTGTAACTCATCATAACGACCTTAACATGAGATTATTCATGAGAATTGCTCCAGAACTCTATCTCAAGGAGTTGGTTGTAGGTGGGCTGGACCGTGTTTATGAAATTGGGAAGCAATTTAGAAATGAGGGTATAGATCTGACTCACAATCCTGAGTTTACTACCTGTGAGTTCTATATGGCTTATATGGACTACAATGATGTAATGGAGTTAACGGAGAACATGTTGAGTGGTGAGCATTTACTAGGTCTTTAATGCCACAGTATTTCTATTAATATTTTAGTTTACAGTCCTACTAATCTCATATTGAAACCATTGAATAGGTATGGTCAAGGAACTTACAAATGGCAGCTATAAAATCAAGTATCATGCAAATGGGATTGATAAGGATCCTATTGAAATAGACTTTACTCCACCATTCAGGTGTGTGGTGTGTATTTTTATTGCTGATATTCATTAATATCCTATTGATTTTTTGAATAATTGATATGTTTTTTTTTATTGTTGCAGAAGGATTGATATGATTGAAGGATTAGAGCAGATTGCTGGCCTCAGTATTCCCAAAGACTTGGCCAGTGATGAAACTAATCAATATCTGAAGAATGCTTGTTTGAAGTACGAAATCAAATGTCCCCCTCCTGAAACAACTACACGCTTGTTGGATAAGGTAATCTCATTTTCTTTTACCCCTTACTTTTTTGGCTATGACTTATTTATTATTTGTCCATTTATGTAAATTTTGAATATATATTCTTTTTTGTAGCAATGACACATATTTTGTTATGGAATGGATTGTTATTTTTTATGTTATACATACTCTTGATTTTTAGGTTTGATACAGATAAGACCAAGATAAGATTTCAGTATCAGTTTTGTGTTTGTTTGGCATAATTAAGCAGTTGAATAGTCCATAATGATTTATGATTTAAAAATTAGAGGAAAACCCAAGAATTTTTTAAAGAAATATTCAGTGTTGAATAGTCCATCTACGGTTCATGACAAAACATTTTAGCTTTGTTTAATTATGTGTGTGGAGAAAATGCATTTAACTGTTGTTCGTGTTGTATTGCAGCTTGTTGGGCACTTTTTGGAGGAAACATGTGTCAATCCCACATTCATCATAAACCATCCTGAGATAATGAGTCCGTTGGCTAAGTGGCACAGATCAAAACCTGGCCTGACAGAACGTTTTGAATTGTTTGTTAACAAACATGAGGTATTATCATGTCGTTTGGGAGATTGATGTTTAAAAAAAAGGGATTCATGCCTATGACTTCTGATCAATGTTTTTGTTACTTTTCAGATTTGCAATGCATATACTGAATTGAATGACCCTGTGGTACAACGACAAAGATTTGCTGAGCAACTCAAGGTAATAAGATATATGATACTGTGGGCTGTGGCATTAAAATAATGCTAAATCGGTTGGCCATTTTCTTTGAAAATAATAGCTGTGATTTTTATTTGCCATGAATATCAGGATCGGCAATCAGGTGACGATGAAGCAATGGCCTTAGACGAGACATTTTGTACCGCTTTGGAGTATGGTTTGCCACCAACTGGTGGTTGGGGTTTGGGTATTGATAGGCTGACCATGTTATTGACTGACTCCCAAAATATTAAGGTTCTTTCTTTTTTTTCTCCGCCTCTATATCTATCTGCATGTGCACTTTATTTTGGCAATTTCTTATAATCTTCTGTCCTCTTCTGTCCTTCATCTTGACAGGAGGTTCTTCTCTTCCCTGCTATGAAACCTCAAGATTGAGCTTTCCTCCAAAGTTGTGTTAAATCTTGCCCCAATCTAATCATTTACAGGTTTGTTCTTCTTCAAGCTATTAAGCATGTTTAGTCTACATGACTGTCCATATTAATGCCAGATTTATGGGTTGAATTTCAAGACTTATACAGATTTATTTCCTCCAATTTTTAAAACCAGTTTCTGAATATATCAGGTTTAAACCGACCAGTGTAGAATAAAATCAGTTCAGAGCCAGTTCCCAATCCGCTTTTATTCTAAACTGATTAAAACCTGATATATACCCCAAAACGGATTTAAACCTGATATACTCCAAAACTGATTTTAAAAATTGGATCAAACTAGTTTGAAGACTTTGGCTTTTAAAGCCTGGTTAAAAATATATTATTAATTAGTTTGCATCAATATTGTAAGCAAAATATGTCCCAAAATCAAAATATCCAAATGCCTTAGTTGGCAAGGATTTATGTTTATGTTTGATGAATAATATGGTGATATTAATTCATTTGAAGCATTGTTTCATATGTTTAGGGTGAATGGAAAATCAATTTTGGTGACAATAATTTTTCACTGCAATTGTCATTTCAAGTGTCGAATCCAAGTTGAATAAGCAGTTGGTTTCTTTCCTCTGTTGATTTCAGGTATAGGAGAAATGCAAGATTCTTAATATGGGAGCTCAGTTCTGATCTGTCTATTTGATGAATAGTTTTTGTATCCGTTCATCTAATCTTATTGGATGAGTGCTATTTATATACAGTATTTTTTTTGGTGAATTTCTTTTTTGGGAGTATCTTTTGGTGATTGGATTAATAGATTATAACTTGTTGTCTTTTTTGTTATACTTTTGAAAGATACCATATTGTTTTGAAAGATAGTTTTGCACAATCTTAATTAAGTCCATATTGTTCATGTTCCAAATCACTTGCTCATAACTAAGGATAACAATTGCAGCAGCTTTTAACAAAAAGTGTCACGATGAGAGAATTGAGTATCCCATAGTCCATTTCCATCCAAAACGCTTGACGATAAAAACTGTTGAAAAATCAGTATAAATGCTGGGTTGAGTTCACAGTATAACTTTTTTCTGTATTTAGTGTTAGATTATAACCGTTACACCTTTTGAAACTATAAATCAGTTGAAAAGAGGTACAGAAGGCTTGTCAAGGGAAATACATTAATCTCAAGCATAAGAAATGCCCAAGAACCAAATAAAATGGAATGAAGTGGTAATGTTTGGATTGGTGGTATATGTTTTATTGTTTGGAATTGTAAATAAAGGATGTAATGGAATATGATGGAATACATTCCATCCAATTTCTCATTTTTGGTTCTATCCAATTTAGGGTATATGTGATGGAATGAGATATTTAAAAAACTACAATGAAGTGAGATTTACGTTCTGTTCCGTCATGTTCTATTCTGTTCCACTCCGTTATGTTTTAACAATTCAAACATAACCTTAAGACTTGCAGACGCAATACTAATCTGATCGTATCTGATCAGAATTGGACTGTCACAGCTGGTTTCAAATTGAATTTGAAGGAGATGGGGGGGGGGGGGGGGGGGGTAGCTGCAAGACACTCCGATGACAAAGTGAGAGACAGAATGAGCAGGCAAGCAAGTATATTGGTGTGTATGAAATGAATACCCGACCCTCTCAAAATAGAGGGTATTTATAGCCCCTAGCGCTGGGCAAAGGTCTCTTTATTGGACTGACCAAACAGGCCCAACAAAGGGACTGTCAGGTTCTATGTGTGTAGTGGGGACTTGCACGTGGTCCCCTACCTGGATGATGCTCTCCGCAGAATAGGGAGGGTGAAGACGTGATCTTCCTGAGACCCTGAGGACTCCGAGATATTCAGAGAGGTTGAGAGTCTGTCCTACAGGAGGGTGCTCGAGCAGGGCTTGGATTGGGATTGGGGGGGGGGGGGGTAGCTGCAAGACGCTCCGATGACAAAGTGAGAGACGGAATGAGCAGGCAAGCAAGTATATTGGTGTGTATGAAATGAATACCCGACCCTCTCGAAATAGAGGGTATTTATAGCCCCTAGCGCTGGGCCAAGGTCCCTTTATTGGACTGACCAAACAGGCCCAACAAAGGGACTGTCAGGTTCTATGTGTGTAGTGGGGACTTTCACGTGGTCCCCTACCTGGATGATGCTCTCCGCAGAATAGGGAGGGTGAAGACGTGATCTTCCTGAGACCCTGAGGACTCCGAGATATTCAGAGAGGTTGAGAGTCTGTCCTACAGGAGGGTGCTCGAGCAGGAATTTGAAGGAGATGGGGGGGGGGGGGGGGGTAGCTGCAAGACACTCCGATGACAAAGTGAGAGACGAAATGAGCAGGCAAGCAAGTATATTGGTGTGTATGAAATGAATACCCGACCCTCTCGAAATAGAGGGTATTTATAGCCCCTAGCGTTGGGCCAAGGTCCCTTTATTGGACTGACCAAACAGGCCCAACAAAGGGACTGTCAGGTTCTATGTGTGTATCCGATGACAAAGTGAGAGACGGAATGAGCAGGCAAGCAAGTATATTGGTGTGTATGAAATGAATACCCGACCCTCTCGAAATAGAGGATATTTATAGCCCCTAGCGCTGGGCCAATGTCCCTTTATTGGACTGACCAAACAGGCCCAACAAAGGGACTGTCAGGTTCTATGTGTGTAGTGGGGACTTGCACGTGGTCCCCTACCTGGATGATGCTCTCCGCAGAATAGGGAGGGTGAAGACGTGATCTTCCTGAGACCCTGAGGACTCCGAGATATTCAGAGAGGTTGAGAGTCTGTCCTACAGGAGGGTGCTCGAGCAGGGCTTGGATTGAGATGTTTCTCGTCTGGGACGTCCCTTGTACAGAAGGGTGCTCGAGCAGGGCTTGGAGCTGCAAGACACTCCGATGACAAAGTGAGAGAAGGAATGAGCAGGCAAGCAAGTATATTGGTGTGTATGAAATGAATACCCGACCCTCTCGAAATAGAGGGTATTTATAGCCCCTTGCGCTGGGCCAAGGTCCCTTTATTGGACTGACCAAACAGGCCCAACAAAGGGATTGTGAGGTTCTATGTGTGTAGTGGGGACTTGCACGTGGTCCCCTACCTGGATGATGCTCTCCGCAGAATAGGGAGGGTGAAGACGTGATCTTCCTGAGACCCTGAGGACTCCGAGATATTCAGAGAGGTTGAGAGTCTTTCCTACAGGAGGGTGCTCGAGCAGGGCTTGGATTGGGATGTTTCTCGTCTGGGACGTCCCTTGTACAGGAGGGTGCTCGAGCAGGGCTTGGAGCTGCAAGACATTCCGATGACAAAGTGAGAGACGGAATGAGCAGGCAAGCAAGTATATTGGTGTGTATGAAATTAATACCCGACCCTCTCGAAATAGAGGGTATTTATAGCCCCTAGCGCTGGGCCAAGGTCCCTTTATTGGACTGACCAAACAGGCCCAACAAAGGGACTGTCAGGTTCTATGTGTGTAGTGGGGACTTGCACGTGGTCCCCTACCTGGATGATGCTCTCCGCAGAATAGGGAGGGTGAAGACGTAATCTTCCTGAGACCCTGAGGACTCCGAGATATTCAGAGAGGTTGAGAGTCTGTCCTACAGGAGGGTGCTCGAGCAGGGCTTGGATTGGGATGGGGGGGGGGGGTAGCTGCAAGACACTCCGATGACAAAGTGAGAGACGGAATGAGCAGGAAAGCAAGTATATTGGTGTGTATGAAATGAATACCCGACCCTCTCGAAATAGAGGGTATTTATAGCCCCTAGCGCTGGGCCAAGGTCCCTTTATTGGACTGACCAAACAGGCCCAACAAAGGGACTGTCAGGTTCTATGTGTGTAGTGGGGACTTGCACGTGGTCCCCTACCTGGATGATGCTCTCCGCAGAATAGGGAGGGTGAAGACGTGATCTTCCTGAGACCCTGAGGACTCCGAGATATTCAGAGAGGTTGAGAGTCTGTCCTACATGAGGGTGCTCGAGCAGGAATTTGAAGGAGATGGGGGGGAGGGTAGCTACAAGACACTCCGATGACAAAGTGAGAGACGGAATGAGCAGGCAAGCAAGTATATTGGTGTGTATGAAATGAATACCCGACCCTCTCGAAATAGAGGGTATTTATACCCCCTAGCGCTGGGCCAAGGTCCCTTTATTGGACTGACCAAACAGGCCCAACAAAGGGACTGTCAGGTTCTATGTGTGTATCCGATGACAAAGTGAGAGACGGAATGAGCAGGCAAGCAAGTATATTGGTGTGTATGAAATGAATACCCGACCCTCTCGAAATAGAGGGTATTTATAGCCCCTAGCGCTGGGCCAAGGTCCCTTTATTGGACTGACCAAACAGGCCCAACAAAGGGACTGTCAGGTTCTATGTGTGTAGTGGGGACTTGCACGTGGTCCCCTACCTGGATGATGCTCTCCGCAGAATAGGGAGGGTGAAGACGTGATCTTCCTGAGACCCTGAGGACTCCGAGATATTCAGAGAGGTTGAGAGTCTGTCCTACAGGAGGGTGCTCGAGCAGGGCTTGGATTGAGATGTTTCTCGTCTGGGACGTCCCTTGTACAGAAGGGTGCTCGAGCAGGGCTTGGAGCTGCAAGACACTCCGATGACAAAGTGAGAGAAGGAATGAGCAGGCAAGCAAGTATATTGGTGTGTATGAAATGAATACCCGACCCTCTCGAAATAGAGGGTATTTATAGCCCCTTGCGCTGGGCCAAGGTCCCTTTATTGGACTGACCAAACAGGCCCAACAAAGGGATTGTGAGGTTCTATGTGTGTAGTGGGGACTTGCACGTGGTCCCCTACCTGGATGATGCTCTCCGCAGAATAGGGAGGGTGAACACGTGATCTTCCTGAGACCCTGAGGACTCCGAGATATTCAGAGAGGTTGAGAGTCTGTCCTACAGGAGGGTGCTCGAGCAGGAATTTGAAGGAGATGGGGGGGGGGGGGGGGTAGCTGCAAGACACTCCGATGACAAAGTGAGAGACGAAATGAGCAGGCAAGCAAGTATATTG